CTCCTGCCTCAGCCTCCCGAGTAGCTGGGACTACAGGCGCCCACCACCGCACCGAGCTAATTTTTTGTATTTTTAATAGAGATGGGGTTTCACCGTGGTCTCGATCTTCTGACTCGTAATCTGCCTCGGCCCCCCAAAGTGTTGGGATTACAGGTGTGAGCCACCGTGCCCAGCCTAAAATTTTTTTTCTTAACATAAAATCCTTCAGAAAAGAGCTTTGGTTTTTTGTTTGTTTGTTTGTTTGTTTTTTAACTTAAAAGGAATTGAGGTAGAATTTACATGTAGTGAAATGCACAGATGTGCCGTGAGTTTGACAGATGTAGCTTGTTACCCCTACGGAAATAAAGAACATTTCCGGTCAGTCCAGTAAGCTCCCTGTGCCCTTTCCACACCCACCCCTGCCCTGCACCTGAGAGATTTGCATGTTGTAGAGCTTTGATAAGTAGGGTCATGTAGTGTGTACGCTTACGGTTCTCGTCTTACTCAGCATGAAGTCTGAGCAATTCAGTGTGTTGTCTCAGGTAGTAGAGTGTGTTTCTTTTTATTGTTGAATAGTATTTTACTATATGGGATATACACAGGTGGTTTATCAAATTTTTAATGGACATTTGGATTTAATCTACATTATTTGCTTTTTACAAATAAGCTGCTATGGCATTCTTGTAGAAGTCTTTTTGGAACAGTTTGTTTCCATTTCGTTTGGGTAAATGCCCAGGAATAGAATTGCTGTATCAGGGCCGGCGCGGGGGCTTGCGCCGGTAATCCCAGCACTTTGGGAGCGAGGCAGGCAGATCACGAGGTCAGAGATTGAGACCATCCTTGCTAAACAGTGAAACCCCGTCTCTACTAAAAATACCAAAAATTAGCCACGGCGTGGTGGCGGGTGCCTGTAGTCCCAGCTACTTGGGAGGCTGAGGCAGCAGAATGGTGTGAACCCAGGAGGTGGGCTTGCAGTTAGTGAGTCCGAGATCGCTCCGCTGCACTCCGACCTGGGCGACAGGCAAGATTCCGTTCAAAAAAAAAAAAAGGATTGCTCTATCATAGGGTGTCGATATGCACCAGATTGGAGAACCACAGCCCAAGATAATCTTTAGATCTATCTGATTTTAAGTCATTTTTATATATTGAAAGTGCTGGGGATATTATTAATATTTGCTGCTATTAATCTCAGAAAGTTTTATATAGTTTTTTTCTTAAAATATTGAAATATTTAAATACATACATATAAGATTGTTGCATAGGTTTTACAATTAGAGTAGTTTAATACTGCAAATCTGACCCCATTTGGATAGCTCTTGTTTATGGGCCACGGGATCCGTTTGAATAGGTTGAGATCTGTAGATGGTTGATTAGCTTCCTCCCTCTCTGGTCTTATTCAGCAGCCA